GAAATATTTTTAATAATTGTGACAAATTGATATTTTGCTGCAGTTTTGACATTCTATAAGCTTTTTTTATCATCCCCAGGAAATGTTCGAAGTTGCCAAAAAACTTTGCTCTTTTTGTGAGCGTTTGGTTCACGATGAACATCTCCAACATCAAGGCTGGGCAGCCATCATGGCCAATCTGGACGACTGCACCCTGTCTTATCAGAAGTTGCTCATGAAATTCAACACAGCATACACTAATTATCAGCAGGACCTTGAGGAAATTAAAGTCAAGCTTTCCAAGTAAGTCTAATTTTAAGTTTGTGACACATTCTACTTGTTTGCTATGTTTGAACAGCCTTAAAGCAATTATCTAGAAAAGCAAGTAATATATCTGAGGAGTTAGAGACTTGAAAATGTAATCTCAATTATTCTTTTGTCATGATTGCAGGTTAGGGACTTCAGTTTCTGTCATGGCTAGGATACCTCTGCTGGAATGTTTGACGAGACACAGTTACAGAGAAAGCATAGTGAAGTCCAGTTCAACCCCAGACAAGGATTCAGATGAGACGGAAGAAGAAAAGTCCACTGACTCTGTGCTCTGCGCTACTCAAACACAGAGGCCCTCCAAGTCATCGGCCTCTTTGTCTGCTTCGGGCACGGCCACATGCGAGGCAGAAGGAGATCAGGGGACAAATGAAATGACTGACAGTGGTGGGTTAAGGGCTGCACTTTTAGATGAAGACACTGCAGACCTTGCCGGCCAGTCCATTTTCAACGTTACACTGTTGGACTGGATAAATGTTCAAGACAGACCTAATGACGTGGAATCTGTTGTGAGGAAATGTTTTGACTCCATCAACAGGGTGAGCCAGTGGTGTTTAGAATTCTCTAYCGAGCGTTGTAGCTTCTGTTGGGAGAAGTGTGTTTTTTTATGGAGATGTTGTATTTTTCAGCTCGACCCAAGGATCATTCAACCTTTCCTGACAGAGTGTCGGGACACAATTGCAAAGCTGGATAATCAGAACATGAAATCCATCAAAGGCCTTGAAGACAGGTTATATGCTCTTGACCAAATGATTGCAAGCTGTAAGAAGTTGGTAAACGAGCAGAAAGAACTCGCTCAGGTATTTAGAAACAAACGCTTCTCAAATAATGCGTTCAGTTAAATTTCGAAGGAATTATTCTTTTATTTTCTCGCTCGCAGGGGTTTTTGGCCAACCAGAAGAGAGCTGAAAACCTGAAGGATACGTCTGTTTTGCCTGACCTGTGTCTGAGTCACACCAACCAGCTGATGATCATGCTGAACAACCACAGGAAGCTGTTAGATATTAAAAAGAAGTGCACCACTGCCAAACAAGAATTAGCAAACAACCTTCAAGTCAGACTCAAGTAAGACTATATATATATAT